TGACACTGCCTGGGTTTTTTGTGTGTGTTGTTTTTTGTTTTTTTTTTTGTTTTTTTGAGACAGAGTCTCACTTTGTTGCCCAGGCCCAGAGTGCAGTGACACGATCTCGACTCACTCCAGCTTCCGTCTCCTGGGTTCAAAGGATCCCCAAAGGATCCTTCTGCCTCAGCTTCCGAAGTAGCTGGTGTTACAGGCACATGCCACTGCGCCTGGGTAATTTCTGTATTTTTAGTAGAGACAGGGGTTTTGCCATGTTGGCCAGGCTGGTCTTGAACTCCTGACCTCAGGTGATCTGAACTCCTCGGACGCTGCATGTTTTTAAACATGTTTTTCTAACCGGGGCGCCCTTGAAGACCAGGTTCTGCATAAACAGGAGGTCCTGTCACAGACCTTTCCGCTCAGCTCAGCACGAGGAGGAGAATCAACCTGTTCCTCCCCTGGCCGCACCCAAGACAAGGCAGGTGACTCAATGGAAACAGCCAGACCGGGTGACAGGAGACACCCCGTCCCTCCCAGGCCGGCTGCAGGGCCAAGTCACTTCCCGCCTGAGCCTCCTTCCTCCTCTTTTAAGGGGAAGCCACGCCCCCAGCCCGCTTGTAGTCGGGAAGTGACGGGGCAGGCTGGGGCTGTGGTTAGGGACATTCGCTTGGGAGATGGAGAGGGGCAGGGCTGGTAGGAACTCTGCCGCTGCTGTGTGACCCTGGGGCCGATGGCGACTTCTCTGGGTCTCTTCCTCTCACTTACCGGTGCCTGATCCAGACAGCTTTACAGGGCTGCCAGGAGCTATGCCAGGCCACTGCCGAGCCGGTACACCTCCAACGTGTCCCACACGTGAGCCAGGTGTCTCTCTCACCCCTTGCTGGGAAGTCAACTTCACGGGAGCAGGGCAGCAGGGGCCGTGTCTGCCCTGTCCCCACCGGGGGCCTGCCCTGGAGCAGAACACAGCGCACAGCAGGCGCTCAAACGCGTCTGTGAACTGAAGCCATCCTGGGAGATGGACTTCCCCGGAGCCGGCAAGTCCCTCCCCAGGTAGTGCCAGGCCCGGCCCACCAGGCAGCACCTTTAGGAGTCTCTGAATTCACTCATCAATCAATTACACATTCAGGAAGGAGGCTCTGGAAACCAGCGCTGGCAGCCGACGGGGAGAAGGCGGGGAGGAAAGGAGTACCGACCAGGTGCCCTCTCCACACGGTTCTCATGCCATCCTCACGCACCACCAAGAGATCCAGTGTGTATCAGCCTGGCTGACACGCTGGGGAAACTGAGGCTTGCATGACCTGATGACCCAAGGTCACGGAGCTAGTGGGTGGCCAGGTCAGGCCTCAGACACAAGGTTGTCCAAAGCTAAAGCCCACCAACCAGCAGGCAGCTGGACATCCTCCTGGAGGTGCTGGGTGTGACAGCCTACCCTCATTTCTCCCAGCTCCTGGAAGACGCCATGTGCAATTCTGACTCTGCCATCAGCAGGCAACATCCTAGCCGCCCCCTGCCTCGATGCCCAGTCCAGACCCAGGCAGCCTGGGAGAGCATTTCAGACAAAGGACACAGTCTCACCCAGACAGGTAAGGTCCCTGCAGCTCTTCCCACCTCTCCTCAAAACAAAGGCAAAAAAGGGGGAGCCCTCTTCAGTATCCCCTGCCCACACTGATGGAGCTGACGAGGGGGCTGGAGAAGAGCCAAGGGCCACAGTGACCCCCTGGGCCTGCTCAAAAGGCCACTATCTCCGACCACAGCCACCACGGCCACACCGCACACAGCAGGTGCCCAGAGACCAAGCATCCTCCACCCGGGTGTTTTCTACCTGGCCACTGGCTGACCAGGCCACAGTGACACTCTGACCTCCTGGGAAGGCATTTTGCACCAACAAAACCACTTTTTCCAATCCCGAGCTCTGCAGCCACCTGATTGGCAGCTTCCGGTGAAGGTTCCTTCACTTGGGGTGGAAAGAAATGATTCACCCAGTACTAGCGTGCCAGGCACTGTAACCCCCAGCAAGACCATGCCCCTTCTACAGCAGAAGTAGCAACTGGCACCAAAAATCAAAGCTCTTCCCGGGCTCACAGCTGGATACCACAGGGCCGGGATTCACACGCAGGCTGGCAGGGCTCCAAGAGCCTGCACCCCAAATGCTTTCGAGAAACAGTGTGGGTTTCTCCCCTTGCTGGGAGAGCCAGGCTTCCTGCAGGTGCCCTGGCCAACTCCTGGACAGACCTCCTGGGCCTTCTGAGAAGGACAAGCAGGAATGGGAAGGCAGAGGCGCCTGAGGGGTGTACGTTGGGTGGGGCTCAAGGCCAGCGAGGGAGCCTGAGGCCTTCCCCGAAGCGGCCGCAATGCTCCCCAAACTGCTGTGTGAGCCCTGACCTGTGCCTCCACAAGCCGGGCCCGGCTGTGGCCCTGGCCTCCAACCCCGCAGCCCAGAGGCGGGAGCCTGAGGACGCACTTCCGTCCCATCTTCTCGTTGGACTTGGGTGTGCACAATGGGGTCTCTGTGGGCTGAGCTCGGCTGCCTGTCAGGCCAAACTGAAGCAGGCTTCCCGCCAAGAAGGAGGGGGCACCAGGCCCCAGCGAAGGGGACAAGGCCAGGCACCAAAGCCCTGGTCAGCGGCCTGCCTTGGGCAGGAAACAGCTCACCAGGGTCCCAGGTTTGGGGAATGGGAGAGTGGGCCCATGACACCAGTGTTTTGCGGCCCTGTGGCAGGGTTTTAGCGCAGACATCAGGGAGCTGCAGCCATCTGTACCCCAAAGCACAGCCCTCTGGCCTGTGGAGACCTGAGTCCCAGACCCCTGTGAGCCAGGCTGTGCCTACTGCCTAGTGCCACTGAGAAGAAGCAACAGGCCCCCAATTTTCCCAGCACGGCATTCCTCCCACCCTCCCAAAGTCCTCTGCAGGAGCAAGAAGCTTCTCCCAGAGACCTGAATGGGTGGAGGCAAAGTCCGAGCCGGGAGCGCGGTGGCGGGGAACGGGGTTATACATTCTGGGAAGCCACGCATAATTAATCACACGGCATTAATCCGCCTCCCCCAACAATAGCTGCTGCACTTCCCCTGGATCCCAGCTGTCGGTCTCTGAATGAAAGGAAACAAGATTTAGGGCATCAAGCGTCCGTGCGGCTTCTGCAGGGGGAGAAGGGGGCCCCAAAAAGCAAAAAAAAAAAAAAAAAGTAGTGTGCGCATTCATTAGTGTCTGACAAAGACACAGCCGGCTTTGTCCATTAAACTGCTCACGGACCTGCTTAATTGGCTTCAGTTTGGGGAGGGTGGGGGCCGGGAAGGGAGGGGGGCTGCTGCCCACAGGCTGGGCAGTCGGCGCAGGCAGGAGCCGGGCTGGGGTTGTCAAGGGAATGGGACCTTCTACAGTTGGAATGAGGGCGCGCAGACTGGCTGGGGAGCCATTTCTTCATCTGTAGCTCCTGGGGGGCGGAGAGAACTCTTTTTCCAGCCACCAAACACCTCCTCATTATTCTCATCAGGGATGGACTCAAGTTGAAGGGCATCGGCCACAGCAGAACAGTTCCCCACCGCCGACTGGCACTCACAGGCAGGCAGGAGGGAGCGGTTCCCTGCGACTTCCCAGCCCCCTCCATGCCCATTTTACATCTGAGCCTGGCAGACCAAAAGGGCCACGGGATTTGGAGGTCAGAGTTTGCAGATGCCAGGACAGAAACCAGACTCAATAATTACCCCACAGCCCGCGCCAAAAGATGAGTTCCGCCTTCTCTTCCCCAGCCCCAGCCTGAGGCCGGGAGGAGGGAGCTGGGGCAAACAAGAGCCCAAAGGCGGGTCCAA